ACTGATGACGCCTATACTGGGGAGGCAATGTTTCCCAAAATGCACATCTACCCAGAACCCATGACTTTATTTGGAAGCAGGGTCTTTGCAGATGCCCGGGGGACAGTGACTGTTCATTCATTCACTCCCTTACTCATTCATTCGTTCATCCCCACACGCTGCCCGAGCACAGGCTCCCTTAGCTCTCTGAGCTGAGCCGTGCTGGGCCACAAAAGAGGACTCAGGGGCAGGCCCTGCCTGGGAGGAGCTCCCTGGCTGGAGGAGACAGTGACAAATAGTGTAGTAAGTGCTCAGGCCCAGAGGCACTCCCCACCCAGCCTGGCTTCAGGGAGGGCTTCCTGGAGGAGGTGGCCCACCTGCTGGGTATTACTGCCAAATAGAGGTTTGCTGACTTCCATGATTTCTTTCTCACCTTCACGTCGTCTGCCATATTGGTGTGCGGGCTTTTCCTATGCAGAGGGCTGCCTGTGGCATTTATTCGCAACGTTCTCACGCCAGTGGTCTAGAAACTGCAATGCTCATTCACTCATCCCTCATGCACTGAGTCTGGGTGGCGTGGGAGAGCATGGGGAGGGCCCGGGGGACACGCGGAGCCCTCGGGCTGGCCCTGCCTCAGGGAGCTGGCCTCTGCTGGTGGTCCCCAGCCTGTGTGTTGACACCTCTGCCCCCAGAGAGTGACCTGCCCTCAGAGCGTCACCCGCCCCCTCTGCAGGTGTTCGAGGAAGAGCACCATGTCCTCTACCTGGACCACGGCGGCGTGATCGCGGCTATCAAGGATACCTCCATCCCCTTGAAGATCCTCAAGTAACGCCATGGGGGCCCGGCATGGGGGGCGGGGGCAGGGTGCTCAGGACTCCTCCAGGGGGACGCAGGGAAACAGGGAATAACAGCACAGCATGGTCAGGGGGGCTGGAGGGAGGGCTTCCCAGAGGAGGTGACGTTCAAGCATCAACAAGTTAGTCAGTCAGCTGGAGGAGGCAGGGCCAGGCAAGGAAGCCAGCGGGATGTGCCCAGGTGAGAGGGCGTTTGGATCAGCTTCAGACATCTGAAGGGTCGTTGTGGGGAAGTGAGGGCAGGTGTGAACTCTGGACTCAGAAGGCAGAGCTGGGGGAGCTGCTGGGAAGCCACTATCACTTTAGTCTGAAAAAGAGTTTTCTGCACTACAAGCTGGGGACACCGTGATATGATGCCATTGGAAGGCAGTAAACTTCTGTCCCTGGCCTGGCAACCCCTGGGCTAGGCTCAGGCATTGTGTGGGGCTGACCTGGTTGTTCCAAGGTCCGGATAACTGCAGTCCAGGGGCTGCAAAGCAGCTTCACGGTACCTAGACAACACGCCCAGAACTCCTTGGCTGTAGTGTTACTAAGGAGATGTGGAGGCCACTTGGTGCCGGCGGGCGGCTGCTGTGGGCCCCCAGCCCCTCAGCTGGGCAGTGCTGGCCCCGGGGCTCGAGCAGGGCTGGATCCAGGAGGGCAGCAGGTCCGGGACACGGGCCGTGCTCCCAGCTGCCTGTGGTGGTGACGCCCCTTCTCTCGGCAGGTTCAGCGTGGACGAGGGCCTCACCTGGAGCACGCACAACTTCACCAGCACCTCCGTGTTTGTGGACGGGCTGCTGAGTGAGCCGGGGGACGAGACGCTGGTCATGACGTGAGTGCCCACAGGAGGCGGGCGGGCAGATGACCTTGCTGCTCCGAGGCGTGCTCAGCACTGGCCTCCCTGCCTCCTTCCCGTCTTCCTCACTCTCCTCTCCAACCTCACACCTGCCTCCTCGTCTCCTCCTGTCCACTGGCCCCTGCCACGCCTGGGACATCTGTCACCTGCCCAGGATCACCTAGGTGGTGAGGGCTGGAACCAAGTCAGGGGCGGCTCTGGCCCACCGCCCGAAGCGGCCTTCTGAGCTTTCCTTACCGTCATCATCACCATTATTATTATGAGCTACTGGCCCCTGGAAGGGCTCCCAGGCCCACTGCGCAGGGAGGGCCTGTGCGGGGCGGAGCCAGGCTGTGGCCAGGGCAGGCTGGGCTCTGACTGAGGTTGCAGCTCTGGGCCCCTGAGCCCGAGGCCTTTTGCCAACTCACAGGGGGAGCCAGGCCTCACTCCGGGCCAAATGCTGCCCTGGGCACGGTGAGGAGGGGGTACAGGGGCATCCTTCTTGGGATCTGAGAGGGCAGGAGTTGAAACAGCGTGCACAGGGCTCGACTGCGCTCCCCAGACACCGGGGAGAGGGGGGTCCAGCTGTGGAAGGCTCCTTCCTGGCCGATCCGCCCTCCTGGGGGCTTGTTCAGGCTGATCGGCGGGCCAGGGTGGGGCCTGAGACTCTGCATTTCTAACAGCTCCACGGATTCTCTGTATGCCTGGCCACACTTGGCACAACCTGCCTTTTACTGATGACGCCTATACTGGGGAGGCAATGTTTCCCAAAATGCACATCTACCCAGAACCCATGACTTTATTTGGAAGCAGGGTCTTTGCAGATGCGATCAGTCAGGATGAGGTCACACTGCCGTCCGGGGGGGGCTAATCCAATGTCCTTATAAGAAGGGGAGGGCTACAGACAGACACATGGGGAGAGAGTGACCTGAGGCGGAGCCTGGAGGCGGGGGCACAATCTGAGGCCTGCCGGGAGTCCCGGGAGGTGGAAGAGGCAGAAAGGACCCTCCCCTAGGGCCTGTGGACGGGGCCCTGCCCCGTGAACACCTACATTTCAAATTCATGGCTTCTAGGACTGGGAGAAAATAAGTTTCTGTTGTTCGCTGCCCTCAGTTTGTGGAAGTGGTCGGGGCAGCCCCAGGAGGCCATCACAGGGCACCACAACCTTCTCTGCTCTGCTCAGGGCCGGGGGCCACTGGTGGTAGGCGGGGCTCCTGCACTGTGGCCCCCCAGTCTCTGCGAGCGGTCAGCCTCTCTGCTTCCTCTTTCTCTGGGCGGAAGCTTCCCAAAGGCCCAGACGGGCAGGGGAAGGAGTGCGCCTCCTCCCGCTGACCGGGCCCCCCTGGCTCCACGCCACAGCAGAGGCCGTGGAGGCCAGCGCCCCTTCAGACTTTCCAGCATGGCCTGCAACGTGCCGCCCACTGTTCTGGGCACCGAGGACCCCGAGGACCCTCAGAGCTGGCGGTCCAGTGGGCAGACATCAAACTTAAGTAAAGAGTGGCCCCCTTCCTCGCTAGTGTGAAGGATGCTGGTGTCCCGGGGCCCACCAGCGGGGTGGGCAAGGGCCATATGGGGCCGGGCGGTGTCTTGGGCATCTTGGAACAGCTGACCTTGAACTGGGTTAGGATCCGTAAGACACAGGCTCCAGGACGAGCTGTGGGTGGGGAAGGAGCCACTGCTTGCCCCCCGTCAGGATTCGGACGGTCCGCCTGTTCTGGCGCCATCTTTCCGGGAGCTGACAGGCCCGGCCAGGAGTGGTCGGCAGCGGGACCCCTCTCCCCGCGGGCCCGGCCTGGGGTGGCCGTGTGCCCTGCGGCGGGCACAGCTTTCTTGCCTGGGAGCCATTCCCTGGCAGGGCCCCGGCAAGAAGCACCTGGTTAATGGACTCACCCTGCTGTGTGCCCTCCCAGCTCCCAGTGGGCCTCCTCCACGCCGCGGCCCCGTCAGCTCTGCCATCGACCGTGCTGGGCAAGGTGCTCGCACCTCTGAACCCCCCACCGAGATCCACGTGGATGAGCCCCCAGCCTCAAACCCAAACTGACAAGAAACCTTCATTAGTGGGGAGACCAGGGGAAGGGAACCCTGAGCTGCTCTGGTGCCTGGGTGGGGCTGGGAGCGCGGGCCTGGACAGCCCACCACTGCTGACCACCGCTGACCACCCCCACTTCTGCGCCCACCTCCTAGGCTTCTGGGGGCTGCAGATGGCATGGGGCAGGACGGGGAAACAGTGAGTGTGGGCTCCTCCCTCGGATGTTTGAGACAACAGGGGCTGGCAGCCGTCTGAATTCCCTGCAGACTGAAATTCAGCTTAGTGACCCCTTCCCGGGGGGCCTTCCCTGCCACCAGGACGGAGGCAGCCTGGTGCCCTCCCTGCCTCTTCAGCAGTATGGCCCCTTGGACAAGGGCCCTGGGGACACCTTGCTGAGCACCTGCTGCATGTTACGGGTCCGTTTTGATACATCATCTTGTTTTGTCCTCATAAGAAATGTCCACGGAAGGATGTGTTGCCCCCGCCTTTTCTAGGGGTGCTAAAATCTCAACAATTCTGCACCAAGGGAGTGGTGGGCAAGGGGCCCCTGTCACCTCAGCTCAGTGTGGTCCCCAGAGCTGGAGAGGGAGGGGACCCGGTGATGTCCTAGAGACCCTGGCTGGGGCACTTCCCCTGGACACCCAGTCGCTGCCATGCCCCTGCCTGGGGACGTGTTATGTCCCGTATGGCTCCGGTGTGTCTGTGTGGTGCACATGCTGCCGCAGGCTCGGGTCTGGGACGGGAGGGCCGGCTCCTCCTGGGCCTGCAGCAGGGTGTCAGCATGTGTGGGCAGGGGAGGGAGGGCTCCCGCCTGGGGTCCAACGCAGGGCTGTCTGTCTGCGGTGTGGCGAGCAGGCTGGTGTCCATCAAGCAAAAATGCCAGCACGGAGGGTGGCGAGCCCGCCAGGCCAGAGGCCTTGGCTTCCCCAGCTGAGAAATGGGGACACTTTCTACCCCAGAGCATTGGGCTTGGAGCCAAGCCCCTGGTCCCACGTGTCACAGCACCAGGGCTGAGTTTGGCCCCAGAAAAAGCAGGTGCTATAACCTTTTAAGGTTTTAAAGGGCACAGCTTTCTTGCCTGGGAGCCATTCCCAGACAGTTCCTCCTTCACGGAGCCGCGTCTCCACACGCTGTTCAAATCCCAGCTGACACGGGAGCCAGTCATAGGGCCCAAGAGGGGACACACGGGCACGCTAGAGCAAAACGCATATGTCTCTGGGTCGTGGGAGCATCCTCGCTGGGACCCGGCGGCCTTCCCCCGCCACCCTGCTCCTTCCTCTCTCCCTCTCCGTGTCTCTGTCTCTCCGTGTCTCTGTCTCTCTGTGTCTCTCCCCTGCTGTCCTGTTTCCTGCACAGTTGAGAACATCTTCTCAGGTGATTTTTTATCCAAATCTACCCAAAGGACATGTCCCAGGTGACCGCCGCCGCCTTTCAGGATGTGTCCCCCAGGCTGGCTCACCGCGGCCCACCCTCCCCTCCCGCGCCGCGCCCGGGGGCGGGGGGCCTGGCCCCTTCTCTCCTACTAACTGTGAGCTGATCCGCGGGCTGCCTTTGGCATGTTCTTCCTAAAACTCAGAATGAACCGGGTGACAGATATTTCTGCATTTCAGCTGAGGCTTTAGGAGGCAGTGGCCTCGGCTGCGCTGTCCTTGGCTGGTCCCTTGTCAGCCTGTTTCCTTATCTGTAAAATGGGAATGGCAGCAGTGTATTCCTCACGGGTTTGGGAAAGGAGAAGATGAGACGCCGACCCAGCGCCTCGCACACAGTCAGTGGGTCATGTCAGTACATGTCCAATGCGCACTTGCTGTTCTCAGGATAACGTGGTTTGCAGGAGGGGGACAGGCCTGCTCTGCCTTGGGGGCCCCGTAAGTGCTCCCTAAAGAGTGTCCCTATCGAGATAAGACCCTCACTGTCTGTTTCTGTAACCAACCCAGCAGACTTTGTGTGGGAGCTGGGACACAAGGCTGACCACAAGGCTGAGACAGAGGGAGGCTCAGGGGCCTTGAGGACCCGAGGAGGCCCACGGCCAGCCAGCAGAGGCAGGGGATTTCATCTGCAAAATAAAGATAACAGTATCTACTTCATGGGACAGTTTTGGGGAGCAGATAAATTGTTGCGTGTGCATGTGGATGAAGCTCCTCGTGTGTGCCGGCACCCCACACAGACCATGGCTAATCCACCACCAATCGGAAAGGCCAGAACTGTCGTCCCCATTTTAAAGCCAAGGAAACTGGGGTACACAGAGGGAGTGAACCTGCCCAAGGTCACAGACATAGGAGATGGGGCATCAATCCAGGCCTGCCTGGCTTAGAGATGTCCCATGAAAGCAAAACTCCTCTTCAGATATCAGCCTCGGACATTCAGAGCCAGCCGTCATGTCCCCTAGAAAACAGAATGAGCCAGGGGACCTACCACCCTAGAATGGGGTTAGGATCCTTTTAGATCATGATTGTCCTTCCCTAAGTATCCTGTCCCCGTCAACATGCTTGGAAGGGGACTGAATACAGCAGGGTGTATCACCTCCTCTACCCAGATGCTCAGCCTCCGGTGATATGTCCAGAATGCTGCAGGTTGGACTCGGGAAGGACCAAGGATGTGCTGGCTGAGCCCCTCTCCTGTGGTGGTTTTTGGAGCCCCTGAAATAGCAGTCCTTGCAGAGAGGGAGGGATCTGGGTACATGGTAGATGCTCAGCAAATGACTGCTGCATGCTGAGGAAGAGGAAATGGCCCAAACAAGCTGTGTGGCCTGGGGCAAGTTACTTAGCGTCTCTGTGCCCCAGTCTTCCTATCTGTAAAATAGGGGTGGACTTGTCTCACGAGGCTGTGGTGGGGATTAGACCAGACAGCATAGATGGAACCCCCGGCACATCATGGGTGTCCCGTACACGTCTGGCCTTTCAAGAGCCCCCATGGTGCTCCATTCCCCTGTTTCCTCTACTCGCCCAGGCTGGGGCCCCATGGTGGGCCGGAGGTGAGCACAGGCTGAGGTCCTGACACTGTGAGCCCGTATGATGACTTGTTACCTCTCTTTGGATTGCTGGTTGTGCCTGGAAAAACAGCCGGTGGCCCAGCTCTGCAGAGCTGGGTTCCGCGGTGCAGGGTTCCGGCACGGTGAGGCCGACCTGGGTGTCCGCGGGTCAGACCCCGGTGCAGTGATGCTGACTGAGGCAGGAGAAGCACCCCGCATCCAGCTGAGCCCTCCGACATTCTGCGGAACCGAAGCAAGGACCGTGGAAGGCTATGGAAGGGCCCGGGTGGCAACTGGGAGGCCCGGGCTCCTGACACGACTGCACCCACTTCCTCGTCCACTGAGGGGGATTGTGGGGGGAGACCCCCACCCGTGCCATCCATGAGTCAGAGATGGTGTGTGATCCTCATGGAGACACCACCACCAGGACCACACGCCTGCAGCTGGCTGGGCACAGTGCAGGGGGGCCGGGACTCTAGGAGGGGCCCGGAGAGCTGCCACTGGGCCCGTGAGGAGGGGGCGCTGAGGCCCCAAGGGGAAGTGGTTCGCGCCATGAAGCGGGCCAGGCTGAGGTGATTTTCCTTCCCTCCTCTTCCCTCCCCAGGGTCTTCGGCCACATCAGCTTCCGGTCTGACTGGGAGCTGGTCAAGGTGGACTTCCGTCCCTCGTTCTCCAGGCCGTGCAGGGAGGAGGACTACGGCTCCTGGGACCTCACCGACCTGAAGGTGGGCCGGGGCCTGGGCTGCGGCGGGCAGGGCGGCCTTCCCTGCCTGTGCATCCTCCGTCCTGTGCGGCACCAGGAGCCTCACCTCCGATAGGGCTTCCCAGAACCCCGGCAGCCCTGACACGTCCAGTCCTTTTGCCGGATTTTCTGGCCACTTCTTGGTGTCTGGGCTGCTCTGGGCTTGGGTCTGCCGCCACGCTCAGGGGCGCGGGGTCACGTGCCCTGACCCCATTGTGTAGTCCCGTGTGCTTGGGGTCTGGGGCTTGTGACATGGTAGGCGGGCAACACGGGGCCTGCGCATAGATTACTTAACACCCCTGGGGGGTTATGGCAGCCCCGCCCCATAACCTCAAACACGTAGATGTTTCTAGAACAAAAGGTAGACTAGTCACACCACGTGAAATAAATAAGGGCTGGAAGCAGCCCGCCTGCAGTCCAGACCAGGTTGTGCTGCCGAAGTTGTGATGGGGAGGCTCGAGGTTTCAGAATGTGGGGCTGTGGAATTGCTGGGGCCCCTGCTCCTGTCACTGTCCCCGTTGTGGGGCTGGGCGGGGGCTGCTGGGAGTGCATGCTAAGGACCTGCTGTGTGTCCACATGCGCCCCGTGGGCCGTGGCTCCTCCAAGCTCCTGCACAGGGCGTCCACCCCGGGGACGAGGAGAAACATAACAGGGACCTGGGTTCCAGCAGCACTGTGACCCCTCAGGGCCAGGGGGAGCGTGTACACAGTGGGTGCTCAATGGATGCTTGTGGATCGGGATGGGAGGGGGGCTGCCCCATCTTGACCTCAGGCACGCCACTTCGTCTTCTGAGCCTCAGTTTCCCCATCTGGGAAAGGAGACTCATCCCCTGCCCCACGCGGCTGGCTGCCTGGGGGTTGAGAATTGGCTATTTTCGGGGACGGGCAAAAGCAGCAGTCCAAGCCACCGGAGGGCAGTGGACCCTTCTCGGCTGGCTCCTCACCCCGCGTTCTCGCTGCAGGGCGACCGCTGCATCATGGGCCAGCAGAGAAGTTTCCGGAAGAGAAAGTCCACGTCCTGGTGCATCAAGGGGCGGAGCTTCACGTCGGCGCTCGAGTCCCGGGTGTGCAGGTGCCGGGAGTCGGACTTCCTCTGGTGAGGATCGCGCCGGCCACGGGCCTCCGGGGCGCCCTGAGCAGCTTCAGGAGCCGGCAGCCGCCGCCCAGCGCGGGTCTCAGACTCCCAGGCCTCCTGCCGTCTTATTCTGTGCCTTAGAGCCAGGCGCAACAGGGCGCTCCTGGGAGGAGCGTTGGGAGCTCAAGGGCGCGTGGGCTCAGTCATCACAGTGGCCTGTTCACGGTGGGGAGGGGCGCCAGGAACCGGGGAGGGTGTCCTGGGGGCAAGCGGTGCCCACCCAGCACTTCTCCGAGTTCCAGAGCCTGGTTCACGAAGCCTCTGGCCGCCGCCTGCCTCCCTAGCCATGCTTCCCCTTATGTGCCCAATGCCTCCACCTGCACCCCCCTCACCAGCATTGAAGGGGCCCCTTGTGCAGTGCCCCTCCCCTCTCTTCCCCCTGGCTGTCCACTGCCTTCCTTGGAGATTCAGTGCACCTCCTCCACGCAGCCCTCCAGGATACCTAGGCTGGGCTCAGTGCTCTCCTGGGAGTTCCCAGAATCCCCTCTGCAATCCCTCTCACCTGGAATGTAACCCTGATTTTCAGGCTGGATGGGGCTGTGTGTCCCCACAGACAGGTGCATCGCGGGCCCTTGCTGTGAGCCCCCGCCCCAGACCAGCTCCCATCCCCACCCAAACCTGTCTCCTGACCGCCCTTCTGCCCCGCAACAGTGACTACGGATTTGAGCGCTCCCCCTCCTCGGAGTCTGATGCCAGCAAGTGCTTTGCCAGCTTCTGGTTTAACCCCCTGTCCCCGCCAGACGACTGTGTCCTGGGCCAGACCTACAGCAGCAGCCTCGGGTGAGTGCGGCACGCGCCTCCTCGCGCCGCTCCGGGGGCAGAGCCGCCGAAAGAGAAGTCAGCCAACGATGCCCTATTGGCTGGGCTCCTGAGAGTCACCCCGGGCACCGACCCTGCAGGGGCCCAATCTGAGCCCACATGGGGCAGCATCAGGGACAGAGTGTGCTTTGAGCTGGCTCTGAACAAAGAGCTAAAGCATCAGGTATATGAAGCTGTGAACCCACAGCTTCAGGAGGTCCCGAGATGCTCTATCTTAAGGTCTCTGTGTCCCTTTGAGGCAGTTTTAAGAGGGAAGAAAACGTCAGTGGACTTTTTAGAAAATCCCCGTTACTTCCCCTGGGGAACGGACAGGGGCACAGCTTAGGAAGCAGGACCAGATGTTGTAGGTTTTAGCCTCAGCAGCGTAAATTCCATCCATCCATCCATCCATCCATCCATCCATCCATCCATCCATCCTTCATCCTTCCATCATTCACCCATCCATCCATCCATCGTCCATCCATCCCTCTTCCATCCGTCATTCACCCATCATCCATCCATCCATCTGTTCATCCACCATTCACCCATCTATCCATCCATCCATCTATTCCCCCTTCCAGCCATCCAGCCATCTTCCTTCCATCCATCATTCATCCATTATCCATCTATCCATCCCTCCATCCATCTGTCCATCCATCCTTCATCCATCCATCCATCTATTCCCCCTTCCAGCCAGCCAGCCAGCCAGCCAGCCAGCCAGCCATCCATCCATCCATCCATCCATCCATCCATCCATCTGTCCATCCATCCCTCTTCCATCCATCATTCACCCATCATCCCTCCAGCATCAGCCACAGCAGCCTCTCCGGTGCATTCACTAGGGTGTGGCAAGCAGGGACTCTTGTCAGGAGTGTCAGAGCTAGGGCCCACATCAAGGGTGAAGGGTTGCACATCAGACCATGTGCACACTCTGGGCACCAAGGTGCCGTGGGGGGTAGCTCTTAGAGTGTATTTTCTTCTGAATTAATCCAGTGTGTTTTGCATGATAAACCCCTGAATGTGTGTCTCCGTGGCTGAGCTATGGGGGCAGGAGGGGGCTCCAGGCTCAAGGAGGTGGGCAGAGCCAGGGTCTTTGGCAGGATGCTAGTTTTATGGACCCAGGGTCCCGCTGTAGCCTTAGAGAGCTTCACAATTGGCAAGTCAGTTGATGCCACCCCCGACAAACCTAAAAGGTCCATCAGAGCCCATGGTCTCTGCCCCCCAACCCCTGTCCAGCCTCCTCTCAGCCCTGTTCCCCACTCTGGTTCCAGCTGACCACCACAGGACCTTTGCCCATGCTGGTCCTGCTGCCTGGGTGCCCTTCCCTCTCCTGCTCGCCCTTCCGACTTCAGCTGAAAGCCGCTCACTCAGGGACTGATTCCCAGAGCTCGTGGGCGGTGATTTTACCTCGATGTGGGGGGTAGTGTGGCGCAGTCTGCCTCCTGCCCTGGGCGGTCTGCCCAGCAAGGGCAGCGGCTCTATGTGGTCCACTGGTCCCCCAGCAAATATGCGGTGTGAAGGAGTCGCTGGATCAGGTGTCCTCTAGCCGGGTGGTGAGAAAGGGAGCCCCGAGGGGGCGCAGCGGTGGCAAGGCCACAGCTGAGTCCCGGCTCTTCTTGGGCACGTTTCTCAGTGAGGCCCCAGCATTCAGGCTGTGCCCAGTCACACCCTCGCCCACAAGGGCAGCAGGTGTTAGGGTTGTCGCAAGTCCCGTGACTGCACAGGGAAGTGGCCGGCCACCCCCCACCTCGCCTGGCCTCTCAGCTCTGACACGGGGCAACAAGGCTCTCGGTGGGGCCGGGAGGAGGCCGGGAGGCTAGGAGAAGCCTGGGCATCCGTGTGGAGGCCACCAGCCAGGAGCTGCACCTTGCCACCGGCGAGTCCCCGCCAGGCCGCGGGGCCCGTGCCCTCCCCCGCCGTCTGTGCAGACCCTGACCCGCCCTCTGGCTGCAGGTACCGGAAGGTGGTGTCCAACGTGTGTGAGGGCGGTGTGGACCCTCGGCAGAGCCCCGCGCAGCTGCAGTGCCCGCTCACGCCGCCCCGGGGCCTGCAGGTCAGCATCCGCGGCGAGGCAGTGGCCGTGCGGCCCAGAGAGGACGTCCTGTTCGTGGTGCGGCAGGAGCAGGTGAGCGCGGCGTGCTATCCGCACCGGGCCACTCCTGCCGGGGAAGCAGGGGACGGGGGGTCGGTGGGTGTCCCCTCCGCTTCCAGGTGGTTTGGAGCAGAATCATCTAGGCGGGGGTTTTCCGAGCTGAGGGGGTAAGAGCAGGCCGGAAGCCCCCTCCCCAGGCCCCGAGCAGCATCCATACTGCAGAGGACAGTGGACTATGGGGGGGGGGGGCACCGTACAACCAGCACACGCGGCAGGGACCCTTCTGTGCACGGTGGAGTGTGTTTACTGGACTCTGACACTTCCAAGATTTATTTGTTCCTGTGGGTGGCAATTTGTTAAACCTCTAATTATATTGATTTAGTTAATCTGGAATCTTAAGGAAAGCAGAAAGTTAAAAAAAACACACACACACACACTATTACTTATAAATCCCAGAACCAAAGATACATCCTGAAGGTAGATGATAGATATGGATTTAATTCTATATAATATATACGAATATGTAAATTCCCTCCCAGTCTTCTACTTTCTCTCTTTTTCTCTTTAGTACAAGTGTCACGTATTCTGCTGACTTAAAAAAGAATTTATACTCATGGTAGAACATTTGAAAAACACCTAAAATGTCAAGAATATAAATATCAGCAAAAACCCCGTTCCCCCCCAAGGTAACAACTGCGAAGTTTTGTATTTTCTTCTAGTCTTTTAAAATTAATATACAGCATGCTTATTTTTCTGATTATAGAAGTAGCAAACTCCCTGTAGAGCATCCAAAAACAGAAATCAGAAAATCTTACCGACATGCAGGAAATTCAAAGCAATAGAATGGCACAGAGGAGAAGCCAGCTCCCACCAGAGGGAGACCCGCCCCGGGACCGCCGGCCGTCTGTGCACGGGGCTCCATTGGGCGCTCGGATCTTTGGTTAACAACTATGCTGAATGAAGCGAGTTCAGCTTTATAACTGCTTGTGAATTGTTTAGCACACGTCCTTCCAAATATGGTGCCCAGATGATGACAGAGGTCTTTGATGTCTGCTGTTATGCAGACAGGGAAACTGAGGACAGAGGGCACGGAGCTGTATGTGTGAGCACCCGTGTGCCCAGCTGGGAAACCCCGGCTCAGAGAGGTGCAGTGACTTGCCCGAGGCCACACAGTAACAGGTGACAGAGCTCCGCATGGACAGTGCCTGGTCTGTGGTCCCCTGTGTAGATGAGCCTGGTCCTGACATTTATACTCGGGGCCTCGGGGGTGGCCCCGGGGCAGGGGTTGGGCATCTGACACAGCTTGGCATGGTGGGAGGATGATGCCCCCTCCCCAGGTGGGGCCCCTGGACCCTCAGAGTGGACCCACCTGCTGCCCAAGTTCTAGCACAGACTTCCAGGAAAAATGGCCATCTGCTGCCCCCTAGAGCCTTCCATCTGGGCAACATGGTCCATCTGCTGAGTCCCTAGCTGAAGCCAGGACAGGACAGGCCAGTCAGCCCCACTGCCCCAGTGGTCCCCAGCCTTGATTGCATGGGGTCGCTGGAGTGACCGAAAGATGCTCTTGCAAGAGAGGTCTCCCAGCACACTGCCCTATCCAGAAGGACTGCTGGCTTCCTCATGGAGGCGGGGAGAGCTTGGGAGCTTGGGTAGGGGTGGACGCATACTCATGCACGCTCACACACACTCACATTCTCACACACTGACTACAGAAACTCGGACACGCCCTCACCACGTGTTCACACACTCGTAACCACTCACACTGACACACAAGTCACACCCACCCGCCCTCACGCACAGGCCAAGCTGCGTGTGGAACTAGCTGGATCTGGGGCGGGGGCCAAGTTCTGTAAGCATCCGAGATTTAAAAATAAGAGCTGATAGAGAACCCAGAAATAGACCCACATAGAAGTGTGCAGCTGATTTTGACACAGGAGCGAAAGCATCCCAGGGGAGGGAGGACAGTCCTCAGCAAACAAACTGTCAGTAAAAATGAGCCTCGGCTGGTACCTCACACCTGATACCAGATCAGCTCAGAATGGACCACAGAGGTCAATGGAAAGCGGAAAACTATCAGTCCTTTGGGAAAGAGATATAGAAAATATGCAGATCTAGGGCTAGGCCAAGCATGCGTAGACGCTGAAAGCATCACCTGTAAAGGAAATTTGGTGAGTTGGACTTTGAGCGACACACCTGTGTGCTGAAGAAGACCCCCGTAGAGAAGGTGAAAAGCAAGCTACAGAGGAAATATTTACCCAGCACGCATCCGGTGAACACTGGTACCTAGAACACATAAAGAGCAGGAAGAAAACAACGCTCCGTGTAGGAAGCAGGTCAAGGACACGGAGGGACAGTTCATCGCAGACGACGGACAGGTGACCAGCGAGCCCACGCAAGTCGTTCAGCCTCACTGGCCGTTAGGGAAATGCGAATCCAACCCCAATGACGGGTCACTGCACGCCCACAACAATGGCCCAAATAAGACACAGCAACACCACCAAGTGCTGGCGAGGGTGCGGAGAAGCCAGACCCCCATGCGCGGATCCCTCATACGCGGGAACATAGGATGGGACCACCACACTGGAAAACAGTGGGGCAGTTTCTTAAGAAACTAAACACGCAACCACCCCATGACTCAGCACGTGTGCTCCTGGGCGTGTGTCTCGGAGAAATGAAGACTTGTGTCCACACAGAACCCTGCACGCGAGCGTTCACGGCAGCTTTATGGCAGAAGGGCCAGGAACTGGGAACACCCAGAGGGGTGTCAGCCCGAACAGTGGCGCAGCCACCACATGGGACACGACTCCGCAGTGAGAAGGAACAGATGACTGATACGTACCACGACCCGGGTGAGTCTCTGGAGAGTTAAACTGAATGAGAAAAAGGCAACCCCAGCGACTCTGTGCTGTCGGATTCCATTTATAGGACATTCTCGAGACGACATGATTACAGAAATGGAGGACAGATGAGTCGGGGGTGTGACGGCGGGGTGGGCGGTGGCTCGGCGGCTCTGCACCCCAGCCGTGTCCATGTCCACGTCCTAGCTGTGACATTCTGGTTTCGGCAGGCATTAGCTCCGAGCGTGTGGTACGGGACACACGGGATCTGTCTTGGTCCCTACAAACCACATGGGAACTGGCGGTTGTCTCAGAATAAGACGTTCACATCTTGACAGCGGGCACGAGATGCAGCAGGGCGCGGGGGTGGGGTTACGGGGACGGATCTCCTTGCCTGCGTGTTTGCTGTCTGTCGCGTGGGTGCTGGACTATGTTCTGATCATGGGGAAAATGACAAGTTATTTTAACCAAGTATAATGTTTAAATCGTTCAATGGGCATCCGTCAGTGGCCCACCGGCAGGAACACAGGGTCCCTGGGCACACGGTGGTGCCCCGCACACCTCGGAGCCACCGGGCTTCCCAGGTACGTCCAGCTTGCACAAAGCCCCTGCCCCCCAGAGCGAGGCGGGCTTGAGACCCCGGTCGCCTGGTTCCCGTGAGGCCGCATGTCCACAGGAGCCCTGGACGGTGAGCCAGTCTGCCCCGCGGTTCTAGCCCAGCACGTGGGGACAATCGGACGCCATGTAAACTGTTGGTCCCAGTGACCACGTGCTGTAGGCACAAGACAGCACGTCGTTCTCTCCCAGGTTCTGAGGCTGGAAATCCGAAATTAAGGCATTGGCAGAGCCTGGCTCCCGCCGGAGGCTCTGGGGAGGGATTCTTCCCTGTCTCGTCAGTTTCTGGGGCGCTGGAGTCCCTTTGCTTGTGGCTGTGTCGCTGTGGTCTCTGCCCTGTCGTCACGTGGCCATCTCTTCTGTGTCCCAAGCCCCTGCCTCTCCTTATAAAGACATGGCCACTGGCTGGGAGCCCATCCGACTCTGGCCTGACCTCATCTTAACGAATCGCTTCTGCAAAGACCCTATTTCCAAATAAGGCCACATTCTGAGTTCTGGGGCACGTGGATTTGGGGGCACAAACACTGTTCAACCATCCACGTTTCTGTGGAGAAAGTTAAGTGAACGTAATTTATGGGAAAGGGCTTTGTCAAGTTTTCTCCTCAGGCAGACAGAATGAGAGGGTCATAAATGGTCAGTGCGAATCCTGTGTCATTCTGGGTCAGCAGGAAGTGGTTTTCAGGGCGTTCCTGCAGGGACAGGGCGGTAGGAAGGGGTGATGGGGCAGGGGAGGGGGAGAGCGGGAGCTCGAGAACGCTTTCTTGCTGTGAAGTGGAGACAGATACTGTTTCCTGTCTCCCTCCCTCGATTTCCCGCGCCTCGGTGAGGAAACCGTGGTTTGGGGGGGGCTGGCTCACCAGCTCGGGGGGGGGTGCGTGAGGCCGTCCGACAGCCCCATGCTGCTCAAACCCGGGGAAGGGGCAGCAGGTGCAGGGAGCAGCACACTGCATAGACCCTGCATGTCTGACCGGCACCCCAGCTCTGCAGAGAATGGGATCAAAGAAACACTCAGGAAGCAACTGAGAAGGGAAAATAATGTTTTCCCAATTTTCAGGGAAACGCCTTAGGAGTCTTCCCATGTGCGATCTTCCTGGCCATGGCCCTGACACCCTCCAGCCTGTGCGGGGGGCCTCCCTCCCTCCGGCTCCTGGCTCAGGCCTTCGTGGCTGTCCCCGCCAGCCGGCCCGCCACCCTGACCGCGCCCTCTGCAGCCGGGCACACGGGGCCCTGGGCCCTGCCCCCATCCTCCTGTGTCTCTGTGGCTCCCCGGCGTCTGCCCTCTGCAGCCCCGCACGCCAGGCTGGCCGCCCCAAGGGCAGGGCGGGTTTGGTGCCTGGGGGCCCGGGGCCCGCGTCCTTTGAGGGGGCAGGCCTCTCAGCTTCGCCGTCCCTCCTAAGTGGCCCCGCGGGATTTCCTGCAGGGTGATGTCCTGACCACCAAGTACCAAGTGGACCTGGGGGACGGCTTCAAGGCCGTGTACATGAACCTCACACTGACCGAGGAGCCCATCCGGCACCGCTACGGGAGCCCCGGTGTCTACCGCGTGTCCGTCAGGGCGGAGAACGTGGCTGGGCATGACGAGGCCGTTCTCTTTGTCCAGGTCAACTGTAAGTCCGTCGCCCCTTTAAGCCCAGAGTCCCCCCCTGGGGCAGAGAGAACCTGGTCCTCGGGGGAGTGCAGGGAGTCCCCTGGGGCAGCGACGGGACCCCAGGCTGGCGAGCCCGTGGGTGGGGAGCAGGCAGGCGGGCTCAGGTCCACGGCCCTGGCGGTGTGTGCGGTGGTAGGCTGGGTGGGGATGCGGGGGGAAGTGATGAAGGTGACCAAGAAGCCCCCTCTGAAATAGCCAGGGCCCTGGTGTCCCCTAACCCCAGCCTTTCCCGCCACCCGCAGCCCCCCTCCAGGCCCTCCACCTCGAAGTGGTTCCCGTGGTCGGCATCAATCAGGAGGTGAACCTCACAGCTGTGCTGCTGCCCCTGAACCCCAACCTCACCGTCTTCTACTGGTGGATCGGCCACAGCCTGCAGGTACGCAGGCCCTGGGACCCATGGCACCGCCCTGGCTGAGAGTGGGGGGCAGGGCCCTGCCCCGGGGACTGGGCGGAAGGACGCAGGGTATGACAGTGTGGAGTGGAGGCGAGCACACACCAGCCTTTCTTCCGGAGCCCTCGCTGCTCGGGTCCGGCTCTGAGTCTGGCGGACTCAGAAGAAAGCAGACCAGGCCCGGCCTTTTCCTGGGGAAAGAGATGTGAACAAAGCAGGTGACCCGAGCTGTGATAAGCGTCATAGGAAGGGGATGGGTGAGGTGTGAGCTCCAGGGAAGATCAGGACGTTTCTAGTCTGGGTGTTGGGTGTGGTCAGGGAAGGCTTCATGGAGGAGGGGGCCACTGGGGCTGGACCTGATGTCAGAAGCCTCACCCAGAGCCCTGGGTTGTACCCTGTAGGCAGCGGGGAGCCACAGACAATGGCTGGTAGGAGGGCTGAGGGTCTCTGTGGGCAGGGATGCTCATCCTTAGCCTGCGGGCCCTCGAGACCCACAGAGGGCCATCCTTCCCTCATTCAGTGGGTTGTAGCCCTGAAGAAAGACCCCAAGGAGAAAAGACCCCAACAGTGGCAGAGGCCCCAGTTTGTGTTTCTCTGGAATGCAGAGGGTTGAGGAAGGTGCTGGGCTCTGGGTTCAAATCACAACTCGGCTTCTTCCAGCCCAGCAATCTGGGCAGGTCTGGAAGGAAGGGGACACCAGGACACTTGGTCCGGCTACATTGGCTTAGAGCCAGTGGCTCTGGGGGTGGGAGGGTCCTCCCCGTGCCCCCTGGTGCTGCCCCCATGTCCTGACCAGAGCAGGGAGGAGTGAGCCGTCTCAGTGAGGCCCTGGGCAGCGGGAGGGACCATGGGTCCGGCTGTCCCACGTGGGGCTGCCTGCCACCCCCGGCCCTGACCCCCACTCGTGTCCCCTGCAGCCCTTGCTCTCCTTGGAGAACTCCGTGACCACGCAGTTTGCAGACACGGGGGACGTGCGCGTGACGGTGCAGGCGGCCTGTGGAAGCTCAGTGCTGCAGGACTCCAAGGTGGTCCGCGTGCTGGGTGAGTCCCCTCTCCCGGGTCGGGCAGCGCGTCTCGTCCTTTGCAGGAGCCCCGGGTTTGGGTGACGTGGGGACTGTAAGCCGCAGACACCCTGGTTATGCTGGGCAGCCGCAGGCTAGAGAGAGGAGCCTGTGAACACAGCCCAGGCGCTCCCCGACTCCTCGGCCTCAGTTTCCCCGTCTGGAAAAGGAACACAGACATGTCTCTGTGTCCATGGGTGGCACTCGTGGGCCTCACACAGCACAGACGGGGGCGCGGCTGAGTGATGTGTCACGGTCACCCGGCGATGCCTCCCAGGACTCTGACCTCTCCCGCCACCTGTCCTCTGAGCCCCGTAACACAGCCTTTGTTGAGACTCAGTTCCGAATCGCACCCCATTTACTGGTGCTCACTGGGGGCCCCAAGGCCCTCGCGGGAGATGTTTACCATAGGAGATTCATCCTGAGCCTGGAAGAGACCCCGCCCCCCCCCAGCCTGTGTGCTGTTGGCCTTGTCATCACACCAGTGAAATCTCCTTTAGACTTTGAGAACAGCCTCTCCCATGGATCACAGCCATCAGTTAAATATCTAGCTGGCCTGCCCTTGGCTGTTCCTGCATTCACAAACACGTGCACGCAGGGTCCTGAGCTCAGACCTCGGCAACAGTCACCCCTACCCCGCTGTGAGATGCTGAGTTCTCTGTTCACAAAGCACGTGTCCCTCAGGCCGCTCATCCCTGCAAAGCCTCCTCCCGTTTCCCAAGAGAGAAACCTGGGGCTCGGGAGGAACATGGAGAGAGTACAGTGAGCCCCGAGCCACCGGCAGGTGGCTCTGGAGTGGGCCTCAGTGAGCTGGGGACCCCGGGACACGTGTGGGAAAGGGAAGGTGTGGCCTCTGCCCTCGCAGGACTCTTACTCTGGTGGGGGACCAGCCCAGTGAAGTCCATGGATCCCTGGGGGATGGAAACCCAGCCTCATGGGGCGTGCACGTCCTTGAGAGTGAGAGGGCAGATCTCACGGTGTACGGGCCAGGCCCTCCCTCCCCGGTGGGCACCGTTCATCCTTGTCATTGGTGCTGCAGTGATCACTACTTGGTGCCGGTCGGTGAGATGGGCCCTGCCCGGAGCAAGCAGCTGCCATCACAGGGAGGACTCTCGTTTTCCAAAAGCGGGCCACGGGGTCTGATCGTGGCAGTCCTGGGCCATCCAGGACGGGTGGCCTCCCGCGGCGGGCAGAGCCCCACTGCCCAGGACTGACCTGCTCGCCCATCTCTGCCTCTTTTCAGACCAGTTCCAGGTGGTGCCTCTGCAGTTTTCCAAGGACCTGGACGCACACAATCCCAACACCCCTGAGTGGAGAGAAGACGTGGGCCTGGTGGTGACCCGCCTGCTTTCCAAGGTGCTGCCCAGCACCTGCAGGCGCCCCGGAGAAGCAGGGGGGTGGGGGAGCCTGGACCCCCCCCCCCCCCGGCGGGGCTGGCTGCCCTCAGTGTCAGTGACCCAGCCTCAGGCTGGCTGCCCAGGGGGTTGGAGGACGGCTAGGGCCCGCTGCCCTGGCTCTAGGGGACTTGTGGCTGGAGCGCCACCTTGCAGGGGAGGGACAGGCCGGCCTCCTCCATGCGCATTGAGTGAGCCCCAGTTGTTTGTCCAGGACACAGTCACTGTCCTCTGCTGGCCCAGAATCTCCTGAATGTAATTTTCATTTATTCACGGAGTTTCTCTTCTGGGCCGGACACTGGAGACAGAGAGGAATCAGTGTACTTGCTGCCCCCGAGGAGCTCACCGAGAGCAGACAGAGGCCTTGGGGTGGGCAGAAACACCTGCCCCCTACAGTCATCCATGGCTGCCATCGGCTGAGGCCCGCTGTGGCCGTGACGCCCCTCAGTCCGTTAATAATGCTGGTGATACTCTCCTGGGCATCCAAGGGTGAATAGGAGTTTGCCAGATGAAAGTGCACGGAGTGGGATTCTCAGGAGGCAGAGGGACCTGCAGAAGCTGAGCTTTGTGGGTTGAAGGGGTTGTATGATCAGGAGCCCTGGCATCTGGAAGGACACTAGCCAGAGAGGGGCCTGCTCAGTTATCCTAGCCACAGTGTGAGGAGCGGACTAGAGGGGGCAGGCCTGGCCCAGGGGAGGCTGGTGTCCGGGGTGAAGGGCAGAGGGGCCAGGAGGGCTGCAGGAGGTGGACTGTGGTCACGGAGTCCTGGGGCCATCCCCGTGTGCGCAGGGGTCAGGAATAGCTCGCAGGGCAGACGGCCAGGACTCGGACAGGCCAAGAGTGGAGACAGGGTATTCCTAGGGGCCCTGGAGTGCAGCAGGGGCAGAGGAGGCAGGTGCGTCAGAGTGGCTCGTCTGTGTCCCCGCAGGAGACCAGTGTCCCTGAGGAGCTGCTGGTGACCGTTGTAAAGCCGGGACTGCCCACCTTGGCCGACCTGCATGTGCTGCTGCCCCCTCCCAGGCCCACAAGGAAGAGGAGCCTCCCCAGTGACAAGGTATCTCCTGCGTCCGCGGGACCCAGCTTCTCTGCACCGCCCGGTCTTTGCGGCCTAGTGCCGGGGGCTTGGGGGGGGGACTCACAACCAGCACGGAAGTCTCAGTGGCCACGGAAAGGCCCATTTCTCGCCAATCACTGCCCAGCACAGGCAGCTGGCCCTCCTTCGTCAGTGGCTGCCCCCCCAAGGTCACTGTTTTGGGGGTTGGGGAGGCACAAGGGCACCGCGGCCAGACCACCCCGCAGGGGGACACGCGTCACTCCTTTCCCATTCTGCTGGCTGGTGCTGGTCACCCCAGCCCAAGCTGACTGTGAGGACCATGGACTCCCACGGCGCGGGTCTCAGGACAGAGCAGGACTCAGCCCCCATGTAGTCAGCAAATGTCTTCACTGCGTAGCCCAGCTTCCAGATAGCTCACCATCGTAGCCCTCATCTGAAGGGGCGGAGGACCCACTGTGTGGCAGCATGGGTTGGGGACCCAAAGCTAAGTCGGACCCGCTTCACGCCCCCGGGGTAGCTGTCACTGCCCCCGAAACACACAGCAAGCTGGGTCGCGTGCAGAACCGGGACCCCTCCTGCACTGCCGAGCCCCGGAGCCCCGCCGTGGGCTGCTCCCCGAAAGGGTAGGCCTAGTTAGCAGAGGGCGCGGCAGCTCCGCCCCCGGGGCGTGTCCCCAGGAGCACCAAGGCTGTTCGCACGCACACACGGAGGGTCACCGTGGCCCAGAGTGGCCACACGTGCCTCAATGGGGGTGGGTGAACAAGATGCGCCCCCGCGCACCACGGAACCTTACTCAGCCGTAAAAAACAAGGGAGCTCTAGCACCTGCTACCATTTGGACGAACCCCGCGAACAGGGTGCCGAGGGAGGGAAGCCGGCCCCGGAGGCCACCTGCCGCCCGACTGCGTTGATGGAATTGTCCACAACAGGCCAGTGCACGGAGGCAGAAGGCGGAGGTGGTTGCCAGGGGTGGGAGGGGCGGGAGGGGCGGGCACCCGGTTTCTGGAAGGAAGGATGAAAATGTTCTGGAATCAGATTGTGCCGATAGTCGCACAGCTGCAAATATACCAAAAACCGTGGAATTGTGCACTTGAAGAAAGTACATGTTATCTCAAAAAAAAAAAAAAAAGTTGAGTCAGAAGCTCAGCTACCCCCAGACTAGTCGTGAGACAGATGCTCATGGAGGCCGTCTGGAAGACGGACCAGCACTGAGCAGGGGCAGCAAGGCCCGCGGCGCCCCTGGGGCTAGGCGGTCACGTCGTCTTCTACAGGCGAGGGAAGTGAGGCTCGGTGGGGGGGCGCATCAGTAAGGGCAGAGGGGACACGGAGCCCCACGGTCGCTCTGGCTGCAGGCCCACCATGCCCAGGCTGCCTCCTGGTAGACACGTAACTGTGTGGGCCTGACCCCTAGCATTTCCCAAGGGGCATCTGCATCTGCACCTGGGGGCGCCCAGGCCTGCCAAGCCCCCAGGCCCTGCCGATGCGGGGTCTCTGGGGGTGGGATGGCAGAGGCTGGAGAGTGACTGTACCCATTTCTCAGATGGGGAGCTGACTGTAGAGGCTTGGCACAGCTTGGGGAAGGCACGGTGGGGCTCGGGGGCCTCCCTCACTCTTGCCCCGCCGAGTTGGCGAGCAGATGAGCTAATTCTGCAGTAGTCAGGTGTGGGCGCTTAGGAGAGATTTGGAAGGAGGCGGAGGAGGGACAGAGGGGCACCCCCACCCCCGTTGTCCTGAGTGCTGAGAGTAAGCCTCGGGCCGAGGTCGGTGAAAAATCACAGGGACTCGTTCTGGCCACAGACGGCACCGTAGCCCCCTGGCCCTTGCTGGGCGCTGGGCACGGGGCTGGAGGCATCCCACGAGGTGTTCCTTTGAAGCCTCACATCGACCCTCGAAACAGAGAAGTGCTGGGGTCTCCGGCAGCGCGAGCCATGTGCCTTCCTGGACCCTTCAAATCCGGGGCTGTTTTGGCTTGTCGTTGTCACGGTCCCCGATGTGGACTCCTCTTTCCCAGGGAACACCAGATGCTAAAACACTGTGCATGGAGACTGAGTTTGGCCCCCCAAGGCACCTGGGAGGGGCTGCTGGGGACTGCCATTCCTTGGGAGGCCCCCTTCCCCAATGCCTCTACACCCACCTGTTGGAGGAATGACCTCTGAGTACCCACAAGGGCCAGTTGGTTCCCTTCTGAGCACGGGGAAGACTCTCCCTCGTGAAACGGCAAGCCAACCACATCTCCCACCCCTGCTCCCTCCACATCACCTCCTGGGATGGCTCTCCCTCACGTGTGGGGTCACTTCCTTGCCTGGGTCACCTGTCCTGTCCCCATCTCGTTCTCTTCTTGGTCTTCCTCCTCTGAGAAGCCTTCCCTGACCACTGCCAGGCCTGGGGGGCCTCCTGGAGCACCTCTGGGTTCCCCAGCTTCACCACACTCTGGTCCCGACCAAAATGAGAGCTCTTAGGCCCTGGCTGGGTCACCTTTGTGCCCCATTGTAGGCTCTTGGTGAAAGCTGGCTGATGGGTGAGTATTTCCATGTTACAGATGAGGAGACTGAGACCCAAGGAGGCTAAGTGCCCCCCCCAACCCCTTGGCTCTGGAGAGTCAGAGTGGACATCTGCCCAGTTCCCCACTCCCTCCGGTGGGTTCCAGAAGACCCTCTTCACTCTCCCCCTCCTGCTTTCAGAGACTCACTGCCATCCAGCAGGTGCTGAAGGCACAGAAGATCAGCTTCCTTCTGCGGGGCGGGGTCCGGGTCCTGGTGACCATGAGGGACACGGACACAGGTGAGGGGCCAGGCGCTTCCCCTGGCCTGGCCCAGGCTTGCCCCTGCAGGGTGGGGTGCACGTGCATCCCGGCCCCTGTTACTTCGGGGCCTGGGGGCAGAGGGCTCCGCCTGCCTGGGTGGTCGCCTCTGCTTACAACGGGGTCAGGTCCAAGGGCCTCGCTCTCTGCGCAAATGCAGCACCAAGCAAGCCCTGGCTTTCATTTACGTGGACATTTAGGGTCTCGGATGACCTCGGCCCCCCGCCCCCACCGGTCACACTGTGACCTTTCCTGTTTTGGGCAAGCGTGTTTGCAGAAGCTGAGGAGCTTCCCTCTGCTCTGGAGACACGTGGTGCCCATCGAGAAACGTGGCAGGCTTGCCGCACGCCAGCAGAAGTGTGCACAGAGGGGTTCTGTCCGCTTCCAGAAGGAAGACCCAGGGCCCCACGGGTACACAGTGGGAGTCCAAGGGGCCCAGGGGCCGGGGTTCCCTGAGACCTGCCCACACCACTCAGCCATACCCGGAGAACCTGCCAGACCCTCTTCCTGTCCCGGGAGACTGGGGAGGGGATGGGTGCCCCCCCCAAACCACCGGCTGCTTTGCTTGCAGACTCGCAAAGGCTGGGAGGCACTGGCGGCTACTGGGCAGTGGCGGTCCTCTTGGTCATCGGACTCTTCGCGGTGGGCGCGTTCATCCTCTACAAGTTCAAAAGGCAAGGCCACCTGGCAGGCTGGGCGCAATGTCAGGCCTTGGGCAGCGCAGGGGACGGGCACTCATGTAGGCCGCTCTGGGTTCTGAATGGCCCCAGCCCCAGGAGGGTGGGTGGGTGGGAGACAGCGGCTCATGAAGCCCCGAGCATCTTCCAACGCCACCTTCCTCTCTGCCGGCATTCCCAGCCTTATCTCCCTCAGGTCCACCCCGCCTTGGAGGGCGGCCCCTCTGAAAGCGGGATTTGTCCCAGCTAGGGAGTGGCATCTGAGACCAGGATTTCTGGCGCTGAAGCCGAGGCCCCTCCCGACCCCGAAACAGCGTCAGGTTCAAGCCGATAGGGACCGAGCCCCAGGACTGGGACTGCAGGTGCCCGCTCTGCAGCTCACTCCGGGCTGGGGCAGAGGGGCTCCCTTGCTGGCCAGGCCCCTCCCGCACCCCCCTGAGTGGCCAGGTCTTCAGATGGATGAAAGATGCCCCTGGCCCTTTGAGAGGCAGGTGCACGCCCCCTCTGCCTCCATGGCCTCTCTGGATCACCTTTGCATGGGCCAGGTGGAGAGCTGCTGACCGCTTGGTTCTGACTGAGGCAGGGGTCCCCGTGGTCTCCATCTGAAGAGTCTGCTCTCAGCCTCAAGGCTCTGCCGTCTCCTCCTGCCCCCGATGTGCATGGTGCCGGTCGCAGCCCCGCCACCGGCACGGGTATCCGGCTGATCCCCACACGCAGGGCAGCCCCCCACCCCCACCCCCCAGTGAAGGGAGGTCCCTGCTCCCCACCCCACTCCGTTCTTATTGCTCCAGCCTGTTCCAACACTCAGGTTCCCTCAGAGGCCACGGGGGTGTGGCCTTGCCAGGTGGGACTTGTGTTACAGCCTTGGTTTCCTGCACCGTGGAATGGGCGCGCTGGTTCTCCCAGGGGCGTTAAAGGCCAGTGTCCGGCCAGGCCTCCCCCTACTGTGCAAGTGTGTGTGGGAGCCTGGCGGCCTGTGTATTTGCAGAGATTCCGCAAGAGGGAGAACCTTCCAGCCATATCTGCCCCGTCCGGGTCTCTGCCCTGAGGCACCCTTCACCCTGAGCGCAAGGCCCCATCCAGACTCCTGCCCTGCTGCTGACCAGCTCCGCAGCGTCCCCTCCCCAGGCCTCAGCTTCCTCATCTGTAAAAGGGGACCAAGGAGGGGGTGGGAAGGAGGAAAAGAACAGGTGGAGAGGGCGGGGGAGGGGACGAGGGAGGACGCCGAGTGGGCCCAGAAGGTGCCCCGGCCAGGGGTGAGGGTGTACGAGCTGGTCCGCCGCCTGGCACGCTGAGTGTCGCTGGTGAGCTGATCACGCTCCCTGGGCGGGACGGGTCGCCATGGAAACAGTGGAGCCCGGGTCCGGGAGCGAGTGTGCACCCCCAGAGCGCCGATCCCATAGGGAAGGCGAGCACAGCAGGCAGGTGCCCAGTTGCAGGGAAATGCCCCACTGGTCCCGAGGCTCTGCGGTTGGACGTGGCCTGTGGGGGTCCAGGGAGCGGGCTCAGTTTCTGGCGGTGGCTCGGCTGCTGTAACAAAGAGCCCCAAGGGCTCCGAGGCTCACAGCCACCAAAGGCTGACTTCTCGCTCGTGCTGTCCCCTGGAGCCGGCAGGGGCTAGCCTCTCATCCTCCCTCAGGGTCAGGGCCTTTGCGGGGTACAGGAGCCACAGCAGAGGGAAATGAGTTCTGGGGGGAACGAGTCATCCTGTAAGGGTTCCAGGCGGAGGCAACATGTGTCCCCTTCAGTCGCCCTCAGCGGTCTGCACCCTGCACTCCTGCAGGACTCGCCGGGCCTGGCGAGCGGTGTCGGAGGGAGGCTGCTCCTTCTCGGGGACCGTGGGCTCTTTCGGGGTCTCAGACTAACTAGGCATCGGACGCGGAGGAGCCTGGCCCGGGGACCCCGAGCCCAGTCCCAGCACAGGCACAGGGGGCTGTGCCCGCGGCCTCCTCTCCCTCTGGCTCTAGAGGGACCGGAAATCAGGACCACACAGCCCCAAGACCTGGACGGGACTCAGCAAGCCCCTCTCAGAGCCGGGTGGGCCTCCCGTGTGCCATGGGAATGCATGTCCCACCCGCCCCGTCAGCGCCCAGGACACTGCTCTCTCACAAACCGGATGACGGGGGACTAAAGACAGTAAAACACCCCCTCCCTGCAATACGACCTCAGTCCATTCCCCGGGGGAGCCAGACAAGGCGCACCCGTGCACTGGGGCCGAGGGAAATCCAGGCCTGTGGGAGCTCACAGGAGGGAGGGCTTCCTGGAGGAGGTGGTCTGGAGCAGAGAAGGGGCAGGAGAGGAGATCCAGGAGCGTTGTCTGCACCACGCACAGGAGTGGTCCGGGGCCCAGCGGCCCTGGTGGGACAGCCCCCTGAGCCCCTCCTCTGCCCCACAGGAAACGCCCCGGGAGGACCGTGTATGCCCAGATGCACAATGAGAAGGAGCAGGAAATGACGAGCCCCGTGAGCCACGGCCAGGGCGTCCAGAGCGTCATCCAGGGTGAGGAGTTTATAGATGATGATCTCGACTCGCAGACTCTAGGTAACGCCCGCCCTGAAAACCCCCCTCCCCACCCTCCTGCGGGTCCCCGCCTGGCCGCCTCTGCCAGCTAAGGGCTCAGGACCCAGGCCCAGGTGGACGGTGGCGCTGTCCCCTCCGTCTGACGAGGGCACGACCGGGGCTTAAAGGGGGGTCTGGGGACATGAGGCACCGCCCTTTGCGGCTGACACGGTGCTCTCTTACTGCGGTCTCACCCTTGCGGCCCGGCGTTTCTCCCCCACGTTTCTCCTGAGGTGGCACTGACGGTGGCCCAAGTCACCTCCGGGCTTCCGCGCTCAGCCTGGGCCATTGACTTAGCGGTCAGCTGTGCTCTCCGCAGGGCTGTCCCCCCGAACGCCTGCCGCGGCCTCTCCGTGTGGCTCAGGCTCCCACACGGCGTGGTGGCCACGTCCTCAGAGCACCTATAGAGCCCAGCCAGCCGGTGGCAGCCGCGTCGCCCTCCACGACTGTCACCCCTGTCACTTGCGTCTTGCTCTGTCGGTCGAGGCAACCACAGAGTCTGTCCATCTTCAGGGGAGGGGACACGGTCTCCACCCTCGGTGGGGAGGGCCCGGGCCACACTGTATGAGGAGCATGACACGTCCTGCCTGTACCCCGTCTCTCGGCAGCCGGTCCCCACCTCTCCCAGGCCAGCAGCCAGAGCCCGGCGGCACGGGAGGCGCCATGAAGGTGTCAGTACCGTGCGCCCCGCGGTCAGTACCGTGCGCCCCGCGGTCAGCACCGTGACCTCCCACTCTCTGTGTCTGGCATATGCCCTCAGAGCTGGGAGAGGCGGAAATCAGAGTCCGCACTTAGTGGTTGAAGGTGAGGCTCAGAGAAGTCATTCACCCCGGGGTGGCCGGGGAGAGGACCCCCACCCTTGCTCCAGCCCCTCCGTGCTCCCCGGGAGCGGTGTCTGCCCCTTCCTGGGACATCACAACAGCTCTGCCGTCCTGAGCACCAGCTCCCTGCTGGGCCTGGGCTGAACGGCTGCCGTGAGCCAGGCCATTGGACAGATGAGAAAGCTGAGGTTCAGAGTGGTCACTCAGCCTGCCCAAGTCACTTGGCTGATGAGAGAGGGATTCAGGCCCAGCTCTGCTGCTCCAAAGCCTGTGCCCTCCCCTAGCACTGCAGCCCCTAGGCTCGGGGTGCCATCCCTGTGCACCCCCATGGGCCCTCCACCCACCTCTCTCCTGCTTGGGGCTCCACGCTGCCTCCCACGTCGCCCGGTCCCCACCTTCATGCAGGTGGTGTCTCAACCCCATGACCGGCCACAGAGGCTCTGAGCGGACCCGGGGCTTCCCAGGCCCAGATGGAGGGTGTGGGTGTCCCCGGGAAGACCCGAGCTCTGCTCTCCTGCCTGTGGCACCTGTTTGCTCTCAAGCTCCTGAAGAACAATAAGAGCATAATAACAACAGGTTATTTTAATCGAGCACTTAGTATGCGCCAGGTGCATGTTCCCATGTAATCCGCACGCGGTCCATGAAGGGCGGTGCTGTGATGCCCACGTTCCAGATGGCAAAACCAAGGCCGCAAGGTGATGGGCCTTGACAAGGGTCTCAGCCAGCAGGTCGGGCCCATGAGCCCCGCACACTGCGCCCGGCAGGTGCCGCAGAGCTGTGGGCCGCCTTCTCCCCGAGCCTGTGGGGTGGTGGGACGCAGCGCGCGGGCAGCGCTCCAGGTCAGCCCCCTCCCCTCTCCCAGGCTGCCGCTGCAGCCCCCACCCAGGACCGCCCCCCCCCCAGCTAAGGCCTGCGTTTCTGACGTCACCGCGCCCCTTCTGTCTCCCACCTCTCCGGGCCTCCCCACGCCATGTCCTGCAGTGCCCACTGCCAGGAGGCCGGCAGCCCCTCCCGCAGCCCCCTGCTGCCGCCGCCCCAGCCCGCCCCGCCGCAGGTCGGCCTGGGCCTCCCCTCCCGAGACCCGCCGGGGTCCACTGCTTGCGACGGCACCGGGAGAACCCACCCTGTCACGCACCCAGGAGATGGAGACCCCCACTGCCCAGCGGTGCGCTCTGGCACCACCTGCACGGCGGAAGGACCCCGGGATGCGGCCGCACGTTGGCTGCGTGGCACCCTCTGCGGCGGCGGTGGCGGGGGGCCTGTGCTCACGGGCGGGCCTGTCTGTTTCTCAGGGAATCACTCCGGCGTGGTCCTGAGTATCAACTCCCGAGAGATGCACAGCTACCTGGTGAGCTGATGTCCCCGGACGCCCGCGCCCGGGACACTCTCCTCTGCGCAGTCTCATCCCCGGAGGGCACCGGTGCTGGGACCCGCGTCCCTCAGAAACCTGCGGAAGCGCCACTTCCTCCAGCTGTCCCCACGCACGGTGACAGACGTCCCCTGTCTTCAGCTCACGCCCGCCCAGCCCACGAGACGCACGGGGGCAGCCTGCGGCCCCCCCCCCGCCCCTGATCCCCTGGACACCAGGCCCACGGCGCCCCCACCCCGACTCTGGGCACTTCTCTGCCCCTGGCCCCCTGCGTGGCTGCCCCTGTTGCTGACACCCCGTCGCCCCAGCCCGTGGCCCGGCCGCCCCGGAGACAGGGAGGCCAGCCTGCCCTGGCTGCCCGTCACTCTGCACCGTGGGCCCTGTCCCCGCACAGGGCGCCCGCACAGGGCGCCGGAGTCCTGCTTTCTTGCTCATCACCCCCAGGAGGGCGGCTCCTACCCGCATGGCCTCCTTCCTCGGTTGCCCTCCAGAATTCAGAAAGCCTCCGCCCCAGGCCCTCCCAACACCGCCCTCTGCGCCTTCCTCTGTCCGCCTCCTTTTAAACTACAGATGTTGTAAACACCTCTCTAGGCAGCTGTTTGCGTTTTGGGGGGTTGCTCCCCTTTCCAGTCTCACGGCCGGGCAGCGGCCATCCGCAGAGCCCCCCTTCTCGGGAACCGTGTCTCGAGGGCCCAGCTCTCCTGCCTCTCCTGGCTCCGCTCCATCCCTGGGGCCCAGAGGGTCCAGCGCTCTCCCAGCTTGCCCCCCCGCCCCCTGTGGCCCTCACACTCTCCGGGCTCCCCACCCGCCGCCAGGGTCTCCTCCTCCGCCGGGTGTGGCGGGGGCCCCCCCAGAGATGCACCAAGGGTCCTGTGCTTCCCAACAGTTTGAGGACCCCGGGTAGGAGCCCCCAGACTAGCCAAGGTTTTGGATGGCAGACAAGAAGGGCCATCCAGGAGTGTGCCCCTCATTCTGAAGATGGAGAAGTTGAGGCCCAGAGAGGGCGTGATTTTCCCCAAGTCACACAGCAAGACCATAGCAGAGGTGCCCCAGGGACCAGCCCTCTGCCCCCCTCACCCCCCCCCACCCCGCCCCGTGCAGCGATTCCGCTCACTCACAGATGCCTAGAATCAGGGACGCTAGCCTCAGTCTACACATGTGAATATATGGGGGGAGATGTTCACCTTTTGCCTTGAAACCGGAAGTCAGTATTCTCCTCCCTCCCTCCCTCCGCCCCTCTGCCTCTCCCTGTCCCTCCCCCTCTTTGCCCTCCCTCTACCCCTCCTCCTCTCCCCTCCCAGGCAGGGCTCTCCGTGGCCCAGGGCCTTTCCCTAGGACATGGGGACACCAGAGCCCCGGCTAGGCGCTCCCTGGCTGCTGGTGAGTCCAGAATGAAGCCTCACAGGGCATTGTCCCATGTCCCCTAGAAGAGGACCATGGCCTGCGGGAGGGGAGGCCCAGGGACGCACCCTCACACCCACAATAGCCCCCCCACATGCAGGAGTCCTTCAGTCTTTGTTACAAACAGGGACTCTGAGACCGCGGGGAGGAAGGGGTCACAGTGCGTCACATGCCAGGTGGAGGAGGCCACCTGCTCACCAGCTGGGGCTCCTGGGCCCCCCTCCAGAGGTCAGCCTGTAAGTTGTTCTCAAGACCCTCCTTGGGGAAGGGCTGGGGCCCGAGGACCCAGGGACATGTTTGCTGGTGTGGTTGGTGTGGGAAGAGGCCCGGGTTCTCCGGACCTTTGCCACCACCTCCCCCAGCCCGTTAGCAGTCTCCAAAGACAAGTTAGGGAGCCCTGTGTCCTGCCATCTGCCCCCACCCAGCCTGCCCCATGAGCATCAGACACACAGGGTCAGACACCTGTCAGCACCATCCAGGTCCAAGGTCAAGGTCAGCATGGAGTCCCCCTGGACACAGTCCCCCACCCTCCCCCCAGCTCACCAGTGCCTACGGGTGACAACCCTCTGACCTTCTTTGACCACTCGACTTCATTCTCTCTGCTGTTTGGGTAGGGTTATGGTTGTTTTTTTTTCCTCCCTTAGTTATTTGTGTTTTTCTTGTATTTTATTATTTCTATTAGGACTATTTTGAGTGTGTGGACCCAAGAGCCCGGGAATCAGGTGGCATCTGACATAACCTTATACGTGTCCATCCCCATAACCATATAGATCGACATGTAGGTCTATGGATGATCTGGGTATACATTTGCGGTTCTGCACATTTGCTGGACAGGTGTATACAGGCGCCTGGGAATACGGTGTGGTCTGCCGTGGGCAGCTAACACTTCATTCCACTGGGCTGCACCTATACTTGGTATATGCACATAACAAAGATGCGAAAAATTCTTTCTTATTTTTCCTTTTTAAAAATCAATAAATCATTTGTGATGCTTTTAACAGAGATTAAATGAATATAATCAGCTTTTGCCTTATTATGAAGCTATTCTTCCACATTTGCCTAAACACACGCACGCACGCACACGGGCCCCTAGAGCTGTGGTCTCAGGGACGCGGGCGAGGGACTGGGGCCGTTCCTGACACCGGGGGCAGGTGGCAGTGACATTAACCTTCTCCGTCACTGGATCGGGGACCCGCCACCTGCGAAGCAACAATGCTCCCCATCAGCTTTCAGAGAGTCCTTACACACGGGCTGGCGCACCTCCTGCTCTCAAGGCCAGTGGAAGGGCCTGGAAGCATCCGCCCATTTGCCAGCTGAGGAGCAGAAGCCCGGGGAGCTGGAGGGCCAGGGGAGGGACAGCCCAACACAGCGCACTCCGGGGTCAATGGTCTCTTGATCTCTGAAACGCCATTCGGCCCGTCTTTGATGAGCCAGGAGGCCGCACTCCCCCGCCCTGGCCAAGGCTCTGGCCTTGACACTGTGCCTCGCTGGCTGTGGGGACCGAGCGTCCACGGCTGCTCGGGAACTCCAGCTGTGAGTGCTCATCAAGAGAACCCTTCCTTCCCGCTCGCGGCCTGGGTCAGCGACGAGGAGACAGGCCCCAGGCAACCGTGCAGGCACGTGCACGTTTCCCGCGTGGTCCAGCAGGAAGTGAGGTCCACGCGGGGTCGTGGGCAGCAGGGGAGGCGGGCCGGTGGGGCGCTGACCGCCCGACGCTCATCATCGGGAGGCTTCGCCCGGGAGCAGTGGCCCCAAACCCCGCGAGCTCGCGTGCTCAGACAGGGCTCCCTCCCCACAGGGCGGCGAGGCCACGGTTCTGTTTCTGGCCTTGGGTCTGGGCTCCCGCAGGTCAGGGGAGGGCGCTTGGCAGCCCCCCCACGTGTGGCCGCTGACCCTGCCGGACGCAGCCACATTCGCACACCTGGGGCCACAAGGGTCAGGACAGAGCTGCGCGCACATGGCAGCCCCGTCCGTGCAGAGAGGACAAGCCCCGGAAAGGACCGGCGCCCTGTCCCCGCAGCGCAGAGCGGGGGCCTCTTCCTATCCCACCTCGCCTGTGTCCTCACCTGTGGCCTTGCCACGGCCCACGCTACAGTCACGCCTCCCAGCCGCCCCCCAACTCCGTGGTGCGTGCCCTCCCGACGGTTGTTAGATGCGCAGACATCCCACGGGCCCTGGGTTGCGGGGATGACCGCCAGGCGCTGCCAGGTCCCACAGGCGCCGGGACAGCCCAATGCGTGCCCGGCACAGCACCCCTCCTTCCTGGGCCGCGGCCCGTGGGCTCCCCGGGGGCCTCGCCGGCCAGGCTTGGTGGTGCTTGCAGCCCAGTGCACCCGGACCTGCCAGTCCCCGGCGCTAAGCAGGCTGGCCTGGGCGTTTCCGGAACACGTGCCCCTAACCCACTGGCACCCGCGCAGCCTCGCAATCGGACTGTTAATCACAGACAGTTCCCGGGCTTGGCAGACGGTGCTTAGCAGTCATTCTAGAATGTGCCCTGGCCCGGTGCCGGGCGAACAGGATCATTGACGCCGTTTGCAGCTTACACGATTGTGGCCCAAATGTTCAGCTGTGTGAACGATCAACAGTATATTCTGGCTGAGGAGGTGGCAGAGGCACGGTGCCTGCCAGCACAGCGCGGATGACAGGTCCCGCGCCGTCTCTGCCCCGTGCCGCGTCCTGTGCAGCTCTGTCCCTGTGCCCCGCAAACCCTGCAGGCAGCAAGCCCCCAGCACAGGTGCCCCTGCCCCCGTCCCACCACCCAGGGCCGCACGCCACACACAAACCGCATCACTGAACGTCCCTGAGAGTCGCCGGGCCCTCCCGGACACCGCTGAGCTCCCGCCGGGGAAGGACGCCACAGAGCGGAGGTGGGGGGCTGCTCCTGGGGCCGCGGAGAGGGCGAGCAGGTGCGGACGGGGCGCGGCCCGTGGAAGCCGCCAGACGCGGGTCTTCAGGGCCGTGTGGGGTACCAGGAGCGGGCCGACGACATCACGGAAGGCGAGGAAGCAGACAGCCAGGGTCCATATGTAGTCATGTTTCCGGGATTTTCCTGTGACTCAGTGGAGAACTGGGACATCGGTAGCCATGTGGAAGTGAGGTTGGGGGAGGGGAGACGGAGGGAATACCGCAGAGCCCGTCCCCGGGGGGAGCAAAGGGCCTGCTCCGGGCGGGAACAGGAGGGCACAGCAGCACCTCGGTCGGGAGCTTCTCTTCCAACTGCTCTGTGTCCTCAGGGAAGCAGAAGCGAGGCGGACAAGGGGCCCAGGGAAACAGGAGAAGGTGTGAAACTGTCCTCCGGGAGCGTGAGGAAGTTAGTACAATGACTAGCAGTGAGGAGGCCCCACTGGGGATTTGAGTCACAGGGTTATACAGAGAACGTCTGGTGTGGCTCTGTGTCTCCCGGCCACATTCCCCTGCTTAGGTGCGGTGGCACATCATTGTCCTCAGGTCACAGAATGGCTGCAGTAGCTCCAGACTTGGCATCTTTGTCTCATAAAGTCTGGAGTCCCCAATCAGGTCCCATGGCCGTCCCAGAAGGAATCCTAGTAGTTCACTGTCTTCTTCTTGGCTCACACACTCCCCTACCC